CGAGGTGAGTTGCTCAAGCCACTCAGGGATCACGATCAAACCCCAGGACCAAAGCAATCCTGGTGCAGACAGCTACGTCTTGGACATTCTTGGACTGGCGCTGAAGACTGACGGCGCGCAGAACGGCGTTGGAAGAGCGGAAGCCACCAAAACCAAAACGGAACGGCGCAGATCAGTCCGAAGAGATATGACAGGAACGAACCACAAACGCCCTTCACGCCTCGAGCCCTAAACCCCTAAACCACGGTCCCTCAACCCTCCACGCAAGCCTCCAGTTCCTGCTCCTTGGTCTTGGCTGCCTGCTGTATTCATCGCCAGCGACAAGATATGGAAGGACAGAAGCGGAACAAGCAACAGCGACCAACAGTGATGACAATGATGACGATGAAGCCATCTTGATAAGAAGGGCCAAAGATGACAAAAAAGGATAAGACCCATGATGAACCAAAACATCTGCATGGTGATATCAAGAACAATGGTGACTGCAATCGTAGCAGCACGCAGAAGCAAAGGCAATCACAATCACAAAATTTAACGGAATAGTAGCAATGTTGGCAGCCGCAGAGAAGCCTGTGAAGAGTCACCCCGCCGGAACACGTGGGAAGCCCGCTATTGCAGGGCTTGCACGAGGTGCCTGGGTCTTGTTCTGCAAGGCTGCGTCCAGACTTCCATCTGAACAGGCTGCCATGAGGGTGTCCTGACAGCGAGAAAGGCTTGTGATTCGACTCTTCTTGGCGGGAACTCACCTGGATCCAAACCCCAAACCGAGGCAGCTTGCAGCGCTGAGCATGCATGAGCATCCAACCACTCAAACTCAGCTGCATGCAACAAAGTCGGTGTCCTTGGCCTGAACGCGGAGAGCCTGGCGCAGAATCGGCGAGGTGAGTTGCTCAAGCCACTCAGAGATCACGATCATGATCAAACCCCAGGACCAAAGCAATCCTGGTGCAGACAGCTACGTCTTGGACATTCTTGGACTGGCGCTGAAGACTGACGGAGCGCAGAACGGCGTTGGAAGAGTGGAAGCCACCAAAACCAAAACGGAACGGCGCAGATCAGTCCGAAGAGATATGACAGGAACGAACCACAAACGCCCTTCACGCCTCGAGCCCTAAACCCCTAAACCACGGTCCCTCAACCCTCCACGCAAGCCTCCAGTTCCTGCTCCTTGGTCTTGGCTGCCTGCTGTATTCATCGCCAGCGACAAGATATGGAAGGACAGAAGCGGAACAAGCAACAGCGACCAACAGTGATGACAATGATGACGATGTAGACATCTTGATAAGAAGGGCCAAAGATGACAAAAAAGGATAAGACCCATGATGAACCAAAACATCTGCATGGTGATATCAAGAACAATAGTGACTGCAATCGTAGCAGCACGCAGAAGCAAAGGCAATCACAATCACAAAATTTAACCGAATAGTCGCAATGTTGGCAGCCGCAGAGAAGCC